ACAAAAAACATGACAACAAAACAGGTAGAGAAATTAGTAAAAGAATCCGGTCTGCAGACAGTTAAAAAAGTTAAATACCTAGGGATAAATTTGACGGCCAAAACGACAACAATAAAAGAAGACAATTATGATACTTTAGTCCAGAAAATAAAGGAAGATTTAGAAAAATGGGGGAAACTAAAATTGTCTTTATTGGGGAAAATAGCAGCAATAAAATCAAACATACTGCCAAGACTCCTTTATTTATTCCAAACAGTTCCAATAAAATTAGATAAGAAATTCTTTGATAATTTGGATAAAATAACAAAAAAATTCGTGTGGGGAGGGAAGAAATCAAGAATAAAATTGAATATACTACAAGATGATAAAAGTAGAGGTGGATTTGGACTCCCGGCATGGGATAAATATTACAAGGCCGCCAGTTTATTATGGATTAAAGATTGGATAACCTTAGATAATCAAAGATTGTTAAATTTAGAAGGGCATGATTTAATGAAGGGATGGCACGCTTTTATATGGAGTTCAGGAAATAAAATATATAAACATTTTAATAACCATACAATTAGGAGATCTTTAATTAACACATGGCTACAAATTAAACAAAAACACTACATGAAAATTCCCGGCTGGCTATCGACTATAGAAGCAATAACTCACCCCAACATATTATCAAAACAAAAGATTCTAAGATACAGAGAAATAGTAGATGTTCAGGGGAAATTGAAAACTAGGGAAGAGCTCAAAGAACAAGGAATAGGAATAGACTGGTGGCCCTACTCGCAAATAAAAGTAAGATTCAGAAAAGATCAAGAAGAAGAAGGAATAGATTTAAAACAAAATCGATTAGACAAACTATTAGAATCAAAAGAAGGGAAATTAATTTCAAAAATCTACAAATATTTACTCGAATTCGATCTGGCAGAAGAGTTGGTCAAAGGGCAGATGATAGCCTGGGCGAGGAACATAGGGCATAATATACAATTAGAAGATTGGGAAAGAGCATGGGAAGATAACTATAGAATGACAAAATCAGTATCATACAAAGAAAATCATTATAAAATGTGGTACCGATGGTATCTGCCACCCGCAAGGTTAGCAAAAATGTATCCAAATGTGAACCCGGCCTGCTGGAAATGTAAAAAAGCGCAGGGAACTTTTTACCATGCTTGGTGGCTTTGCCCAAAAATCAAAAAATACTGGAACAAAATAAAAACATGGATATTAGAGATAACAAATCACGAAATTGAATTAACACCTGAAGTCTTTTTACTCGGCATGATCAATAAGAATATTAGGAAGGACATAAAATACCTAATACTCCACATTATAACAGCGGCAAGATTAGCGTTGGCACAACTTTGGAAAATAGACCGTTTGCCAACTGATCAGGAAGTAATACAGAAAATCTATGTATGCGCAGAGATGGATAAATTAACCCTAAAATTACAGGATAAGGAAGATTCAAAATACTTTAAAATAGGGAATAGCTGGTACCAGTGGATAAGTCAGAGAGAGGGAATGTTTAGAGATGAAAGTTAGGAGAAATTAATGTAAATAAACAACTGCACTGTCAGAGAGATATAGAAAGAAATAAGTCACCGTGTGTATATATATATATATGTATATATAACATTAGAAAGTAGTTGATAGATGAAGTTGAGCATTATATATGTATAGTATATGTACTTGTAATTTGTGTGTTTGATTAAGAAAAACTTGTTCAGTTTTTCTTATAATTGTTTTAAATGTTCTTTTTTTAAATACGAATAAAGTTTGTTTAAAAAAAAAAAAAAGGAAAAAGGAGGCAGGGAATCAGGCAATTTTGATAGGATCCAAATTGGGTTCTTTCTGGGTCCCTTTAACTGCTGAATGCCTCAACATTTGGAACTTGGCCAAAAGAGGGTCATGTGCCTTGGGGGTTCAGCATCATTAAGCTATGCAGTATTTTGTTTTTGCAGAAGTGGTTCAAGGGAGGTGGGATTTTGCTTTCTGTCCTGGATTGCTGTATTGCTTTGGGATTCAGGAAAAGATGCCTCACCTAAGCAGAAATAATGGAGGGAGCTCACCTGGGATGATGGAACAAAGCACAAAACAACATGGCAACACAAAGGGTGTGATGAGAAGTTTATCCAGAGCTACATTAATGAGTGGAGCTTCCGTGTCATCATATTCAACATGTATCATCATTTTCTTAGTACATATTTATCTTTCCTCTTACATTTAAATTTAATGTATTGCAACATATTTCCCCCATATTTCTTATTTTTACACTGCCTATTGTCTATATTCAGTCTCTATCCATTGATAAAATTGCCCCCATATGTTGTAACACTCCGATTCTTCCTTCCCACTAATTGCTAATGTTAATCTACTCATTTCTGCACATTCTAATATTTTCTTAATTAGCTCCCCCTTTGTAGGAATTTTTTCTGCTTCCCAATTTTGTGCAAATACCATTCTTGCTGCCTTTATTACATGTATAATCAAATATGTATTTTCTCTACTAAATTTTTCCGGTAAGATACCCAACAGGAACAGCTCCGGTTTAAGATCAATGTGTTTCTGTATCAGTTTTTGTGATTATTGTGATTATTGTGCCCAATAATTTCTCGCTTCTGGACATGTCCACCACATGTGATAGTACGATCCCGATGTCTGGTGGCATTTCCAACATTTAGCTGATTTATCTTTGAACGTTTTTGCCAATCTATTTCCAATGACATGTGCCATCTATAAAACATGTCACCGGAAAGATTGTCAAAAATGTTCAAAGATAAACTTTCTTTAAATTTTCTGCTTCCCAATTTTGTGCAAATACCATTCTTGCTGCCGTTATTACATGTATAATTAAATATGCATTTTCTCTACTAAATTTCTCTGGTAAGATACCCAATAGGAACAGCTCCGGTTTAAGATCAATGTTTTGCTGTATCATTTTCTCTAGCCATATTCGAATTTTTGCCCAATAATTTCTCGCTTCTGGACATGTCCACCACATGTGATAGTACGGTCCCGATGTCCGGTGGCATTTCCAACATTTAGCTGATTTATCTTTGAACATTTTTGCCGATCTATTTCCGGTGATATGTGCCATCTATAAAACATGTCACTGGAAAGATTGGCAAAAATGTTCAAAGATAAACTGTCTTTAAATTTTTAAATAAATGTTGTACCAAGATGTTACACTGATTGATTAATGATGAATTGTTTGTTTAAAAATTAAAAGGAAATATTTTTCTCAAAAAAAAAAAAAAAAAGTGGAGCTTCCCTTGACAGAGGCAGTCTACATACAAAAATCTGCCTTTTATGCAAAAATATGAGAACTGAGCTGCTTTAGTGAGAATTTTTTTGCCATAATTGGCAGCTCATATCCTACAGTTGTGAAGTGAGTTGTGAAGTTGTTATGTCATTATGTCCAATGACTTTGTGAGACACCAGATGTGAAAGATACCAATACTGATGAAGTCACCCTGGGACAGCGCAGCCGTCATAAATACATGCCAGTGGCTAAACGCCTGGATTTTGACCACATGACCACGGGGATGCTGGAACAGTCATAAGTGTGAAAACTGGCCAAGGCCACTTTTGTCAGTCGTGCTATAACTTCACTAAGTCACTAAGCAAATAGTTGTAGGTCAAGGACTATCTCTACAGTGCTTTAAAAATAATCCAAAATAGCCCCCAAATTGGAACCCACAGAGGTCAAAAAATTTCCTGAAACAATCCGGCAAAACTAGCCCATTTTGGGAGAAAAGCTGTCCAGCTGCCCACAACTGTTTCCATCTTGCAGTTCCACTCAATCCCCAAACTTTGAGAGGGTGGCTGAAGCCCCTGGAGGTTTATCTGTCTCCTCAGGGTCACCCGAGTGGTGCGAATGGTTCTTGCAGTCTGCAATTTTCCCCTCTGGAAATCCATTCCTGCCCCCACACCATGCAAAGGGGGTTCAGCCCAATTGCATCGGTAAAAGTCTGTAGAGATTCTCCGTCATCCAGGTCAGGACTGTCCCAAAGGTGCTTTGCTCAGGAGGCAACTGGACTTTCTGGTTTTTTCATTTGAAGGTGTTTTGCTTTTCATCCCAGAAGCTTCTTTGGTTCTGAAGAACTGAAGAAGCTTCTTGGATGAGAAGTGAAACATCTTCAAAGAAAAGCTTCATGAATGCAGGCTCAACTGCCAGTTACCATCAGTTATCAGAGTGAAGATGCCTTCGGAGAGGTAGGTTGGTTTCTGAAGGGCTCCTGGACTCTGGGAAATCTTCCCTCTATTTGCAGCCAATTTACCAGAGTTGTATTGCAAGGGTGAAAATGCCCATTTCGCCTCTTACCTGCCTGGGTGCCCCTCCAACCTCTGCCCCCCCCACCCTGCCTAGGGAGGGAGCCTGGATGGGGGGGGGAGTCCCAGTCCCAGAAGGGCCCCTCAACCTCTGCCTGCCAGAATGCAGGGGGGGGGCGAAGGGGAGACCGGACCCCAAAGATCAAAGGGAGCCCCCCCGCCTCACCTCTACACGGGACTCGGGACTTGTGCAGGCGCCCTCTGGCTGCTTGAAGGAAGGCGGACGCCGATTTAGCTGATGAAGAGAAAGCCTTGTAATGGGGGACTTTCAGTCAACTCACTGCAGTGCCAAAAAAGCTGTTTTAAAAAAACAATACAACACATAAAAACATGGAAAATGAAAACAAAGAAAAGCCAGGCGCCAATCCATGCCACCTTCTCCTTGTCTGACCTCCCAGCGCCTGGGGAAAAGCCGGGTGTTTAAGGGTGAAAGGTTGGAGGCCCTTTGAGAATCTGGCTGGTATCTCACAAAGCTTCCTTGGCCTTAGAGAGTCCCTTTAGCAGTTTCTGCTGGAAGACAAGGGGACCTTTGAGAGAATCCAATTGACAAGAGTTTCTGATGTCTGTGGAGGGTCTTACATGGTATGGACAGTTCACACCCCCAACAATGGAGGCCAAATTAGCCCTAGATTCAGCCACAGCACACTTGCTTCAATCAGGCACTGAGTGGGAATATTTAAAGGCAATTTATTAGATTATTGTAGCAAAGAGATTTCCCTTAATGAAAAGAGGGAATCTAGGACACAGAATCGGGTTTCATTTTATACTCCATACAATAGAAAAAGTACAAAATAAGAGTTGATTGCATGGAAGAAATAAGGGTGGATAAAAATTGATTAAAAAAAATAAATAAATCATAATTTTGATTTAAATGGGATTTTTTTGTTATTTTTTATCAAATTTATTTTAATAAAATACTTTTGGGATAAAAATCCCATTGGGATTTCTATGCTATACTATGCTATGCTATGCTATGCTATGCTATGCTATGCTATTCAAATAGAATAGCATAGCATAGCATAGCATAGCATAGCATAGCATAGCATAGCATAGAATAGGAGTTTTTTATTGGCCAAGTGTGATTGGACACACAAGGAATTTGTCTTGGTGCATATACTCTCAGTGTACATAAAAGAAAAGATACGTTCATCAAGAATCATAAAGATAATTTTCCATTTAAGATACATTAATAATTTAGTCTATTCAGGTTGAAATGGAGCTTAGTTATGTAGCATGAAGCTGTATATTCTGCAATATTTACATTTCTGCTAAACTCATTCAATGAATCCAAGCACCGCAAGCTGAAATAACATGCACTGCATTGATACATCCACAGAGTTTCACAGTAACCATGAGATAACTCATAAAGCAAAGGGCAGGAATATTCCTTTTCCCCATTTTTCTTCAAATACACTGTATGTAGACTACAAACTGTATGATTGTTGGAAGAGAAATGCACCTGTACCCTCAGCCTCTAAGTGTGAGGGGGAAGGGCAAGCAGTAAAAATGGAAGTGAAACCTCCTAAGCAGCTTATAAATATAACATTAAAGAGCACCTGTCATTTCAGATCCATCATGGCAGGGCCTGTGAGAGGGCATCCACTCACCTGCTGCCAGCCACGTCCCTCACCTGGTTGTGTCACTGATGCATCACCAGCCGCCCTATTAAAATGAATGGGACTGTCGGCGAGTCAACAGCGGCTCAGAGGAGGAGCTGCTGCGGGACAGACATGACAGTTGCTTTTTAAAAATTATGATTTAAAAAGTTGATTTAAATCTTTTTAATAGCGATTTATATAATGATTTAAATTGACATGATTTAAATCAACGTGATTTAAATGAAATCCACCTTGGAAGAAATCATCCTGCTCAATTATGGTTATATCAGAGACATGGACAGTAACAACCCATAATATTAAGCATAATCACTGAAATGAGCCTTGCATTAAAAGAACATTCACATGGGAAATGGCATGTCTGTTGTGAAAAGGTACAATTTAAACCAGTTGAAACATCTAGCATGTACAATTGAAAAAGTCCTTTATTTGGCAGTTATTATTTATCCTTATTGTCTTCTTTAATCATTTGGAGTAAAGAGCAATAATTCCTCTTATTGGAATTATTATAATGATGATGAATATGCACTAGGTAAATTCCTAGGGTGTCTATACACACTTAGCCAAATTAAATATACAATTCAATTCCCAAGATACACCGTGACTGAAGGTTTTCTCACACTCAGGTATGTTTATGATTTTTCTCCCACGTGAATTCTTTGGTGTCGATTGAGGCTACTATGCTCAATATAGCTCTTTCCACACTCCAGGCATTAATGTGGTTTTTCTCCTGAGTGGATCCTTTGATGTTTATAAAGGTTGCCCCTCTGACTGAAGCTCTTTCCACACTCCAGGCATTTATGAGGTTTTTCTCCTGAGTGGATCCTTTGATGCTGGGAAAGTTGTCCTTTCTGACTGAAACTCTTTCCACACTCCAGACATTTATGTGGTTTTTCTCCTGTGTGGATTCTTTGATGTATCTGCAGACTTCCTCTCCTACTGAAGCTCTTTCCACACTCCAGGCATGTATGTGGTTTCTCTCCTGTATGGATCCTTTGATGTATCTGCAGACTTCCTCTCCTACTGAAGCTCTTTCCACACTCCAGGCATTTATGTGGTTTCTCTCCTGTGTGGATCCTTTGATGTCTATAAAGAGTTCCTCTTCTACTGAAGCTCTTTCCACAATCAAGACATTTATGTAGTTTTTCTCCTGAATGGATTGTTTGATGCTGGGAAAATTTTCCTCTCTGACTGAAACTCTCTCCACACTCCAGGCACTGATACGGTTTCTCTCCTGAGTGGATTGTTTGATGAATATAAAGATTTCCTCTCTGATTGAAGCTCTTTCCACACTCAAGGCATTTATGTGGTTTTTCTCCTGTGTGGATTCTTTGATGCAGGTAAAGACTTCCTCTTCTACTGAAGCTCTTTCCACAATCAAGACATTTATGTAGTTTTTCTCCTGAATGGATTGTTTGATGCTGGGAAAGTTGTCCTTTCTGACTGAAACTCTTTCCACACTCCAGGCATTTATTTGGTTTTTCCCCTGAATGGATTGTTTGATGCTGGGAAAGTTGTCCTTTCTGACTGAAACTCTTTCCACACTCCAGGCACTGATACGGTTTCTGTCCCCAGTGGATTTTTTGATGCAGGTAAAGATTTCCTCTCCGAGTGAAACTCTTTCCACACTCCAGGCATTTATGTGGTTTTTCCCCTGTGTGAATTGTTTGATGTTCATACAGAGTTTCTCTCCTACTGAAGCTCTTTCCACACTCCAGACATTTATGTGGTTTTTCTCCTGAGTGGATTGTTTGATGAATGTAAAGATTTCCTCTCTGATTGAAGCTCTTTCCACACTCCCAGCACTGATACGGTTTCTCTCCTGAGTGGATCCTTTCATGTCTGTGCAGACTTCCTCTCCAATTGAAGCTCTTTCCACAATCAAGACATTTATGTGGTTTTTCTCCTGAATGGATTGTTTGATGCTGGGAAAGTTGTCCATTCTGACTGAAACTCTTTCCACACTCTAGGCATTGATACGGTTTCTCTCCCCAGTGGATTTTTTGATGCAGGTAAAGATTTCCTCTCCGAGTGAAACTCTTTCCACACTCCAGGCATTTATGTGGTTTTTCTCCTGTGTGAATTGTTTGATGTTCATACAGAGTTTCTCTCCTACTGAAGCTCTTTCCACACTCCAGACATTTATGTGGTTTTTCTCCTGAATGGATTGTTTGATGCATGTAAAGATTTCCTCTCTGATTGAAGCTCTTTCCACACTCCCAGCACTGATACGGTTTCTCTCCTGAATGGATCCTTTCATGTCTGTGCAGAGTCCCTCTCCTACTGAAGCTCTTTCCACAATCAAGACATTTATGTGGTTTCTCTCCCCAGTGGATCCTTTGATGTGTATAAAGGTTGCTCCTCCAACTGAAGCTCTTTCCACACACCAGGCACTTATGAGGTTTTTCTACCCAATGGATCCTTTGATGTTTATAAAGATGTCCCCTCTGACTGAAGCTCTTTCCACACTGAAAGCATTTATGAGGTTTTTCTCCTATGTGGATCCTTAAATGACTTTCAAGATGGCCAATTGTTTTGAAGGATTTTCCGCATTCGGGGCATTGATGTTTCCTTCCTCCCTTCTGGATCCTTCGGGGCTTTGGGGGTCTTCCGAAGGAGCCTCCGCCCTCCAGGCTCATCTCGGCGTCTCCGCCCGTTTCCTCCTCCCTGCATCGCCCTCTAGGCAGCCGCCTTTCCCGGGCTTCCCCTGGGCTCCTCCCTCCTGCGTCCCCGGAGCCCCCCGGCCTTTCCCTGCCATCTCCCACGGAAGCCGCGCCGGGACCGGGCAAGGCTGCTCCACGGGGCCCGCTCTCCTCCTCCTCCTCCTGGGCGGCGCCTCTTTCCTGCATCCGCCACCATCGTCCATCTTCCTGCAGGGGAGAAAGAGAAGAGGGTCACGGCTGCGTCCCCTTCCCTGCAGGGCAGGCCAGGCCCAGGCCCCTGCCTCCCACGGGCCTCTTGGGCATTCTCCAGGCGGACACGGCCTCCTTCCCAGCCTCCCGTCTCCCTCCCCGCCCTCAAGACTAGGCCTCAGGATCCCTGGCCTGCCTTATTCAGAGACACTCTCCCGGACTTCAACTCCCAGCATTCCCTGCGCCAAACCTGCATCATCCGCGCTACTCTGTCGTCGATTCAGGGAGCTCCCTTTTGCCCGTTTTAATTTTCTCTCCAAATACTTCACTTCTTCGTCCAGAGGATCGGCCCCACGGAGTCACCCTACCAATCGCTGCCTTCCTCAGAACGACCAATGGGCGTCCTCCTTTCTCCAATCAACCAGACGGCTCCTGCGCAGTGCCGAGGACGTGGAAGTGGGGTGGGGCGGGGAGCTCCCCTTCAACTTTGTGGTCTGATCTCCCCCCCTCCCCCGCTCTGTATTGAGGGAGGGGGAGGTCAGGGGCTCTTCTGGGGCTGCGACCTCATAGCAACCTCTGAAGGGGAGCCAGGGATGAAGGCTGGGAGGGGAGAAAGAAGAGACCCTGAGTTCAAGGGTTGCACAGCTCCCTTTTCAGTCCAGCCCACCTCACAGGGCTGTTGTTGGGGGAAGAGAGGAGGAAGGTGTCACCATTGCTAGAAGACCTTGGCTTCTTGCAGGCGTTCTCCTTCATTTTGCTGCATGTGTTCTCCACCTTATTTGTAAAAATAATAAATGGAGAATCCAAATAAATACGTAAAGTCGCTATGTGTGACTCACAAGTGTGTTTTTAAATAGCAACTACATGGAGTCTATTTGATGCAGGACAATTCTTGTTCCTAGATAGAAGAACTAGGAATTCATGCACAAAAGCAGACCAGCTCCAGTTAAACAGGACGTAAGGATGAGAATCTCCTCCAATGGTTCCTTCCTGCTAATGAATTTCCTCTCATTCCAATACATTATTGTTGGAAAAAGGAAACAGGGAATCATGCAATTTTGATAAGATCCAAGTTGGTTTCTTTCTGAGTCTCCTAATTGCTGGATCCCTCAACATTTGGCCAAAAGAGGATCATGTGACTAGGGGGTTCAGCATCCTGTCAGATCCCTAAAAGTGATACTGCCATTCAAGTGAAGGAAGGGGGGATGTGGATTCGATTTACTAGCATGGCCTGTGTCATCATATATTTTACAACCTATATCCTGGCGCCAAGGAAGCCTGAGATTCCCTTTACCTGCAGGAATTTATATGATAGTCATGTGGGTTGTCTCACTTTAAAGGGTAGTGGTGGGAATGCATGTTTGTTCGGGTTCTCAAAAGAAATAGTAAAGAAAACCTCTTCCCACTTGTGTATTGGCTAAAATCTGCATTCTGACTTAAAGGGAGGGGTCTCTACCACTTTAATCCTACTGCTTTGCCTAAAGGTATTCAGATTGTGATTTAGCTGGATGGTTTTCACTTCTGCTTAATAAAAGAATCCTTTTGAATAACTACGTTTCAAGAGTTCGTACTTTCTTAGGTTGGAAGGAGAGGAGATCCTTACAGAAAGCACAATCTGCAAAACGGTCAACCCAGAGAAGCAATCTTTGCTCTACTGAGGGGACCTTGCAAACTATGTCTGAACAAAGCAGAGAGCTGGGAGAAACCGATTGCTGGGGAGAGACAGTAACCGCCACCCAGTCGGATGCCTGCCTCGTGCGACCCATCGGAGAGGATGAGGTAACCCTGGAGAATCCTGAAAAGCCCCGCTGGTCAATTGGCATCGGGAAGAAAGATGGCTGGGATGAGAGAACCAGAGGAGTCACCCTCAACCGTGGCAACCGAAAACCGGGGTGGAAACTGGAACTAGAAGCCCTTACTGACCAGGGGGGGCTGACCGAAGCACCCCTGAGGGAGGACTATCTGAAGAGGCATGTAACCCGATTGGTGATGGAGACTTTGGAAAATCTTAACATCCGAAGGGAGCCAGGACAACAACCAAAGAGCACTGAAAGGGCAGCAGTCATGGATGATGCCAGGGGAGGCACCCCCCTCCTGGAGGCCGCCTATCGAGCAGATGGTGCAGCAGCTACGGGAGAAGACCCAGCAAACCCTCCCCCCCAGGCAGCACGCACACCGGTGCCCATTCCCAATCAACCCCGGGCTCCTCAGCTGGAAAGAGAAATTCCCCCTCTTGGGGTGAAGTTTGATGGGAATCCGCAACAATTAGGATTCTTTGTGGCACATGTGCTCACCTACATGCAAGAGTATGGGCGTGATTTCCAAACCCAAGGATCCCGAGTGCGAGTTGTGACCCTAGCCCTAGAGGGTGCCGCAGCCAGATGGATGGTGACCCTACATAATGCCAACGCACCAGAACTGTGGAATTTCGACCATTTCATGACGGCCCTGCGACGTCGGTTCGAGGACCCACTGGCAGATCGCAAAGCACGTGACCGCATTAAGGTGGTGAGGCAGGGGCGACGGCCAGTAGCAGAGTACACTGAAGAATTCTGGGACCTCGCGTGTCGTGTGCACTGGCCGGAAGATATTTTGGTGAGCTGTTTCAAGGACGGACTGAGTGATGATCTATACAATGCCTGCGTGGCCCGAGGGGCACCGAATGACCTACATGAATGGTATGTCACCGCCGAAGAAGCTGAGATCGATATGGCCAGAAACCAGTATCGAGCGGGGCGAGCATGGAAGAAATCCTCACCCCAATGGAAGCAAGAGCCCCACAAACCACAAACCGCATTCTCCCCGAGATCTTCAGCCTGTTTCAAGTGTGGAAAAGAAGGGCACCGAGCTGCAGAGTGTCGTTCGCAAATACCCGCCCGGAACCACCCACCGGGGGAGGGTCCTGGAAAACCGGGTCGGCGTGGGAAGGAGACTGCCCTGAGGAGCAGGGAGGCCATAGAAGTCCCATCCCCTCCCCTCTTTGGGGAAGAAACCCTGGCATCTGAACAGGAGGAATCACACTCGTTCGGAAGCGATCCAGATGATGAGCCACTGGTAAGCAAACCAATTAAACCGCTTACCCTCCCCTTAAGACTATTTATCCCAAACCAGGACAGGGAGATAAGTATCCCCACCCTAGTGGATTCGGGGTGCACCCGTTGTTTGATCAGCCCAACCTTAGTAGGGAAGTTAGGGATTAACGTAAGAAAGCTGAAAACCCCCATTGCTTTCTGCCAACCACATGGGTCAATAGCAGGAGGGGAGCCAGCTTCTCTGGCCACCGTGCCTCTACATATAGGCATTGGAAGCCACGAGGAAAGGTTTACCTTTATAGTGGCACCTGGCATGGAATGGCCGTTGGTTCTGGGCCTTGCGTGGCTAAAAAGATGGGACCCACAAATCAATTGGAAACAAGGCATCATAAAATTTCAGAGGAAGGTGACTTTTGCTGAGTATCCACATAAAGGACTTGAGGGGGCAGAGAATCGAGAAACGGCCATGCCTGGTCACGCCACACCAACTGAGGGCATACCCATAGAATACAAGATTTAGCTGAGGTTTTTAGCGAAAAAGCCTCAGATGAGCTCCCCCCCCCCACCGTGCCACTGACTGTGCAATAGAAATCTTACCCGGCGCGAAACTCCCTAAAGCCAAGATGTACAGCATGTCACCGAGGGAGTTGGAAGAGCTGAGAACATTCATTGAGAAAAACCTAGCAAGGGGTTTCATCGAGCCAGCCCGACCAAAAATTGCAGCCCCAGTGTTGTTTAGAGAGAAAAAAGATGGTTCAAAACGCTTATGCGTTGACTACCGGAACATTAATACTATCAGTGTGCAGAACGTGTATCCTCTCCCCCTTATGAAAGATATGTTAGCACACCTCGCTAAAGGGAAATTTTTTTCAAAGCTGGACTTAAGGGAGGCTTACTACCGTGTCAGAATTAAGGAAGGGGATGAGTGGAAAACGGCATTTAACACCCCCCTCGGCTGCTACCAATTCAAGGTGTTCCCCTTTGGGTTGCAAGGACTCCTGCAGTGTTTATGCAGTTAAGAAATGAAGTGCTGCATCAGCATTTATATAAGGGGGTTCTGGTCTATTTGGATGACATTTTAATCTATACCGAGACCAAAGCAGAACATGTAAAACTAGTCAGGGCAGTTTTAAACAAACTCCGTGCTGCCAAACTTTATGCCAAACTTTCCAAATGTGAATTCCATCAAGAGAAGATTGACTATTTGGGATACCGCATTTCACACCAGGGGGTTGAGATGGATCCTCTAAAAGTGCAGGCTGTACTTGATTGGGACCCTCCACGCACACGTAAACAGTTACAGAGCTTCCTGGGGTTTGCTAACTTTTACCGCCAGTTTATCCCTGCGTTCGCTCAGATTGCCCTCCCCATCACCAAGCTCTTAAAAACAAAGGGGGAGGACAACCCTAAACCAAAGCAACCATTGAACTGGACTATGGAATGCCAGGCAGCATTTGAAAAACTTAAACGGCTGTTCTCAGCAGAACCAATTCTACAACACCCGGACACGGAGAAACCATTTGTCATACAAGCAGATGCCAGCGATGTGGCAATAGGAGAGGTCCTGCTTCAGAAGAATGAGCAAGACCAACTACAACCCTGCACTTACACATCCAAAAAGTTGAATGAGACTGAGCAAAGGTGGGCCATTTGGGAGAAACAGGCGTATGCAGTTCGTTGGGCATTGTTAACCTGGCGGCACTTCCTAGAAGGCAGTAAGACCCCTTTTGAAGTCTGGACTGATCATAAAAATCTAGAAGCCCTAAAGACCCCAAGGAAACTCTCCCCAAAACAAGTACGATGGGCTCAGTACTTTAAACGGTTTGATTTTACTCTAAAATACCTCCCGGGGGGAAAAAACTTTCTGGCGGATGCGCTATCCAGAAAACCGCAATACATTCGTGCAAGGTCAGACGTAATCAAACCTATAGTACAAAACAGTCAACTAGCCGCTAAAGTAGTCACCAGATCCCAGGAAAAACAAGAAACAGTGACAGACAATGACATCACCCAAAATTTTAAACAAGCATTGGCCACTGATGAATGGTTTTTGAACAACAAATCCAGCTGTCTGATGAAAGAAGACTTGGCTTGGGTGGGGGGGAAGTTGTATGTCCCTGCAAGCCAAAGGCTATGCTTAATGGTACGGTGCCATGACTCCAAATTAGCTGGACATTTTGGGTTTGTGAAAACTTTACACCTGATTAAAAGACAATTTTGGTGGCCATCACTAAAAAAGGACATAGAAAGCTATGTAGCAGCTGCCCCATTTGTGCAGCAGCAAAAAGACGCCAGGGGAAATCCCCAGGTCTATTGCAGAAGGTAGCTGAACCTGCAGCGCCTTGGAGAGAGATTGCTATGGATTTCATCGTGGAATTGCCAAACAGTGAGGGAAATACTGTTATTTGGGTTGTGACAGACCTATTTTCAAAACAGGCACATTTTATACCCTGCCAAAAGATCCCAACTGCTAAAAGTTTAGCCAAATTATTCCTAATACACATTTATCGACTTCATGGTGCTCCACAAAGGATCATATCCGACAGAGGGGCTCAATTCACCTCCAACTTTTGGAGGGCGTTTTTGGGCTTACTTGGTACTGGCCAGGGGTTGAGCACATCCTTTCATCCTTGTACTAATGGTAATTCTGAAATTTTGAACTCGGTACTAGAACAATATTTTAAGATGTTTCATTAATTTTCAACAGGATAACTGGACCGAACTTTTGCCTTTTGCTGAAGTTGCGTTTAATAATGCTGTCCATTCAAGCACTGGTTTTACCCCTTTTAGAGTAGCAACAGGCCAGGATTTCAGCCCCATGCCTGAACTACCCACAGAAGAACCCACCATCCCCTCACTTAAGGAGTGGATGGATAATTTGCGAAACACGTGGCCAGTGGTTAGATTAGCCTTACAGGAAGCTAGAGAAGCTTTTAAGATTCAAGCTGACAAGAAAAGGATGGAACCCAAACCTTTTCATATTGGAGACAGAGTATACTTATCTACAAAATTCTTGAAATCATTACAACCATCAAAGAAACTAGGGCCAAAGTTCACTGGACCTTTCCCCATCACTAGAATCATCAATCCAGTAGCAGTTGAACTACTTCTTCCAAAGACACTCAGGCAGATCCACCCAGTATTCCATATCAGTTTACTCAAACGAGAAGTAATCTCATCCCTCAGACCACCTGCATCTACACCACCCGTTCCCATCATGATTGAAGGTGAACAACACTTTGAAATCAAGGAAATCCTTGATTCTAGGATCCACAGAGGGAAAGTCCAATACTTAGTTGCTTGGAAACATCTACCATCAGCACACAATGAATGGGTCGCCAAACACCACGTTAGGGCTCCGATCTTACTGAGAAAATTTCACTCCCAACACCCTAACAAACCTTGTTGATCTACTATCATGAAATCTTGTGTATATTTGTTTTTGTTTTTTTACAGGTGGACCCTTTTGTTTTCTAAGGAGGGTAGCATGTCAGATCCCTAAAAGTGATACTGCCATTCAAGTGAAGGAAGGGGGGATGTGGATTCGATTTACTAGCATGGCCTGTGTCATCAGATATTTTACAACCTATATCCTGGCGCCAAGGAAGCCTGAGATTCCTTTTACCTGCAGGAATTTATATGATAGCCATGTGGGTTGTCTCACTTTAAAGGGAAGTGGTGGGAATGCATGTGTGTTCGGGTTCTCAAAGGAAATAGTAAAGAAAACATCTTCACACTTGTGTATTGGCTGAAATCCGCATTCTGACCTAAAGGGAGGGGTCTCTACCACTTTAATCCTACTGCTTTGCCTAAGGGCATTCAGATTGTGCTTTAACTGGATGGTTTTCACTTCTGCTTAATAAAAGAATCCTTTTGAACAACTACGTTTCAAGAGTTCGTACTTTCTTAAGTTGGAAGGAGAGGCGATCCTTACACATCATTTGTTTACTGACACTGAATACATGTATCATTTCTTTCTGTACCCTCTTTAAAAACATGAATGTTTTTGCTTTGCTTGAATTAACTGATGATCTGTATTTTCAGGTGGGCAAAGAAACACATTTGCAAAGGTAAAAGTTTCAAATTCAGGATCTCAAGTCCTTTTCAGCTCCACAACAAACTTGGTGCCTGAGTTTGGAGATTAAGACATGATTCAAATTCATCAACCAATAATTAAAAGTAACAGGAAAAACAGCTGGGTGTTCTCATTTTCTCTCTGCTTCCCTTTCCTAAGAGGCCAAATGAGCGTTTTCGTCCTTGCAATACAATTCTTGATAAATTGGCTGCAAATAGAGGGAAGATTTCCCAGAGTCCAGGAGCCCTTCTGAAGACTGACTAACCTCTTGAAGGCATCTTCACTCTGACAACTGACAGTAACTGGCAGTTTAGCCTGCATGGATGAGGTCATAAAGCCATCAGAATTCCCATGGAGATGACAGGTGCCTATCAAACCTCACCTGCTCCACCTTTTCATTCCAATGCCAGGCAAATGCCTTTAGGAGGCAACCAGACAAATCACTCAAGCTGCCCATTTCTCATCTTTTTGCACAAAATGCAGATCTTTGGATGTAGACTGCCTCTGCCAAAGGAAGCTCTACACATTAATGTAGCTCCGGGTCAACTTCCCATCACATTCCCTTTGTGTTGCCGTGCTGTTTTGTGTTTTGTTCCATCATCCCAGGTGAGCTCCCCCCATTATTTCTGCTTAAGTGCAGACATGGCCCCCAAGGCACATGACCCTCTTTTGGCCAAGTTCCAGATGTTGAGGGATAAAGCAGTTAGAGAGACCCAGGAAGAAACCAACTTGGATCCTGTCAAAATTGCATGATTTCCCCTTTTCTTTTTCCCAACAACGAGCTATTGACTTCTATGAGAAAATTCACCAGCAGGAACCACTGGCAGGAGGTTCTCCTCCTTAGCTCCTCTCTAACTGGAGATGGTCTCCTTTTGTGCATGAATTCCGAATTCTTCTATCTAGGATCAAGAATTTTCCTGCATCAAATGGAGGCCATGTAGTTGCTATTTAAAAACATCAGACATAGTGAGTTTATGTATTTATTGGGATCCTGCCTTTATTATTTTTACAAATAAGGTGGAGAACATATGCAACAAAACAAAGGAGAAAGCCTGCAAGAAGACAAGGTCTTCTCCCAATGATGACACCTTCCTCCTCTTTTCTCCCAACAACAACCCTGTGAGGTGGGCTAGACAGAAAGTGGGGCTGATTCAAACTTGAACTCTGCTCTCTTGCTTTCTACCCGGTGCCTTAATCACTGGATCCCCTTCATAGACTGCTATAAGGTCGCAGCCCCAGAAGAGCCTCTGATCTCCGCCTGCCTCAATACAGAGCGGCTGGGAGGGGGAGATCGGACCCCAAAGTTCAAGGGAAGCCCCGCCCCCCTTCCACGTCCTCGGCACCGTGCAGTCACCATCTGGGTTATTGAATGAACACGGACGTCCATTGGTCGCTCTGGGGAGGGCGGCGATTGGCAGGATGACTCCGTGGGGCAGATCCTCCAAAGGAACAGGTGGAACTAGTGGAGAAAAGGGCATGAAGCCTCCACTTCCGGAACTAAAACGGGCAACGACTGAGCTGCAAGAATCGGCGACAGAGGAGCGCGGATGATGCAGGTTGGGCGCAGGGGATGCTGGGAGTTGAAGTCTGGGAGGGTCTCTCCGGAGGCCTGGGAGCCCGAGGCCTAGTCTGGGGGGCGGGCGGGGAGGGAGACGGGAGGCTGGGAGGGGGCCGTGTCCGCCTGGAGAATGCCTGGGTGGCCCGTGGGAGGCGGGGGCTTGGGCCTGGGCGTCCCCTGCGGGGAAGGGGAGGCAGCCGTGACCCTCTTCTCTTTCTCCCCTGCAGGAGGACGGAGGATGGCAGCGGATGCAGGAAAGAGGCGCCGCTCAGGAGGAGGAGGAGAGCGGGCCCCGCAGAGCAGCCCTGACCGGTCCTGGAACGGCTTCCCCGGGAGACAGCGGAGAAAGGCCGGGGGGCTCCGGGGCTGCAGGAGGGATGAGCCCAGGAGGAGCCCAGGAAAGGCGGCTGCCTGGAGGGCGATGCGAGGAGGAGGAAATGGGCGGAGACCCCGAGATGGGTCTGGAGGGCGGAGGCTCCTTCGGAAGACCCCCAAAGCCCCGAAGGATCCGGGAGGAAGCAAAGGAACATCCATGCCCAGAATGTGGAAAATCCTTCAAAAGAAATCATCATCTCCAAAGGCATCTTAGCATCCACTCAGGAAAAAAACCTCATAAATGCCTGGAGTGTGGAAAGAGCTTCCGTCAAAGGGAAAATCTCCATTCACATCAAAGACTCCATTTAGAAAACCAGTACCAATGCTGGCAATGTGAAAAATCCTTCAAAACAATTCAAATCCTTGAAAAACATGTAAGAATCCATTCGTTAGAGAAACCATTTAAATGCCTGGAGTGTGGAAAGAGCTTCCATCATTGGAGTAACTTCGATATACATGAAAGAATCCATTCAGAAGAAAAAAAGTATGAATGCCCAAAATGTAAAAAATCCTTCAAAAGAAACGACCATCTTCAAAGGCATCTAATAATCCACTCGGTAGAAAAAACCTCACAAATGCCTGGAGTGTGGAAAGAGCTTCAGTCAGAGGGGACATCTTTATAGACATCAAAGAGTCCATTTACAAGAAGAGTATGAATGTGGGGAATGTGAAAAATCCTTCAAAACAATTCAAATCCTTGAAAAACATCTAAGAATCCACAAGCCAAATATATGCCTGGAGTTTGGAAAGAGCTTCAGTCAAAGGGGAAGTCTTGATAGCCATCAAAGAATCCACACAGGAGAAAAACCCTACAAATGCCTGGAGTGTGGAAAGAGCTTTACTGAGGGTGGACACCTCCGTCGACATCAAAGAGTCCACACAGGAGAAAAACCACATAAATGCCTTGAATGTGGAAAGTGTTTCAGTAGGAGAGGAACTCTGTATGGACATAAAATGATTCACACAGGAGAAAAACCGCATAAATGTCTGCAGTGTGGAAAGAGCTTTAGTCAGAAAGGAACCCTTGACGGACATCAAAGAATCCACTCAGGAGAAAAACCCTACAAATGCCTGGAGTGTGGAAAGAGCTTTATTGAGCGTAGTAGCCTCCGTTGACACCAAAGTGTCCACACAGGAGAAAAACCACATAAATGCCTCAAATGTGGAAAGTGTTTCAGTCGGAGAGGACACCTTAAAAGACATCAAAAAATCCACTCATGGGAGAAGCCATATAAATGTCTGGAGTGTGGAAAAAGCTTCGGTCAGAGAGGAAAACTTTCACTCCATCAAAAAATCCATTCCGGAGAAAAACCACATTAATGCCTGGAGTGTGGAAAGAGCTATATTCAGTGTAGGGGCCTCCATCGATTCATGCGGGAGAAAAATTATAAACATGAGTGTGAAAAACCTTCAGTCCCAGAGTGTATCTCAGGAATTGAATTGAATTGCGCATTAAATCTGGCCAAGTGTGAATAGGCACACTAGGAATTTGTCTTAAGCTCTCAGTGTACATACAAAGCAACAGAATAATGATATTCATGATAATTATAATAATTCCAATATGAGGGCGGAGTAAAGAAGATATTAAGAAGGGTAAATAATAACTGCCAAATAAGGGACTTTCCCAGGCTGAATAATAAAGGGCTTTTTCAATTGTACATATGAGAGGTTTCAACTGGCTGAAATTGTCCCTTTTCACAACAGACTTTCCTGACTCATGATGCCATTTCCCATCTGGACGTTCTTTTAATGCAAGGCTCATTATTATAATATGGGATGTTAATTTCTATGTCTCTGATGTAACTGTAACTGAGCAAGGTGATTTCTTCCAGGGTGGATTTCATTTAAATCAGGTTGATTTAAATCACGATTTAATTTATTATGTAAATCACTAGCAAAAAGGCCCATGGTTACTGTGAAATTGTGTGAATGTATCAGTGCAGTGCATGTTATCTCAGCTTGCAGAGCTTGGATTCATTGAATGAGTTTCCCAGAAATTTAAATATTGCAGAAAATACCCCTTCATGCTTCATAACTAAGCTCCATTTCATGCTGAATAAACTAAATTGTTAATACATCTTAAATATAGAACCATCTTTAGATAGATTTTTACATCAAAAGCATTTTATTGAAATGAATTTGCTAAAAATAAAAAACCCGATTTCAATAAAAAAAATCTATTTTTTTTTTAAATTAAATTGATTTCTATCCACTGATTTCTTCTAAGCAATCAACTGTTGTTTTGTACTTTTTCTACTGTTTGGAGTATAAAATGAAACCTGATTCTGTGTCCTGGATTCCTTCTTTTCATTGAGGGAAATCTCTTTGCTACAATACTCTTAATAAATTGCCTTTGAATGCTCATCCCACTCAGATCCTAATTGGAGCAAGTGTGCTGTGGCTGAATCTAGGGCTCATTTGGCCTTCATTGTTGGGGGTGCAAAGGAGCTTCTCCCTGCCATTGTTTGATATAATCTATGTGGATTTCCCAAATGTGGGGACCTATTAAGACCATCTCCAAGCATCTGAAGCTCTCAGTTGGATTCCCTGAATGGTCCCCTTGTCTTCCAGCAGAAACCCCTACAAGAGACTCTCTAAGGCCAAGGAAGCTTTGTGAGATATGAGCCATATTCTTAAAAAGCCTCCACTCTTTTAGCCTTAAACACCTGGCTCTTCCCCAGGTGCTGGGAGATGAGACAAGGAGAAGGTGGCATGGATTGGCCCCAGGTTTTTCTTTATTTTTAAAACGGTTTTTGGGAGCTGCACTGAGTTGACTGAAAGATGGGCAGTTATAAGAATTTTTCAAATGAATCAGACCCATTGGGGACCTCTTTGATCTCCCACTAGGTGCAGAGACTAGGTTTTCCCCAGTTGTCAGGATAGCGAGAGTCCCCCATTACTAGGCTTTCCCCTTCTCTCCCTCAGGCTGGTCCCCCAGAAGCCTCTCCTGTCATCTCCTCTCCCCTTCTCTCCCTCAGGCTGGCCCCAAAGATCCCCTCCTTCCGATCCCCTTTACTCCCTCAGGCCTCCCCATAGATCTCCTCCTATCCCCTTCTCTCCCTCAGGCTGGCCCCATAGATCTGCTCCTATCCCTTTTCTCCCTCAGGCTTCCCCATAGAAGCCTCTCCGCTTCTCTCCCTCAGGCTTTCTAGCTGCTTCTCTCCATGAGGCTTTCCCCACAGAAGCCTCTCCTATGCTATCCCATTCCCTCCAGAGTTATTTTCAAGTTGGGAGGGGGAGTTGAACGTCTAACTAATTAGCATCAGAGCGTGTTATAATAATATAGGAAATACTAATGCTCTGATGGTCGTTTCAAAAAATCCTTTCTTAGTGAGCACCTAGAAGCCAAGAGGAACATAGGTGGCAAATTTCAAGCTTGTAGGCTTTACGGTTCTGGAGATTTCGTGATTAATGCGTGAGTGGTTTTCGCTTATATGTAGATTAGTATCCTGCACTGGATACTTTGGCTCCTCTGGACTAATGCAACCCATGAATTTGTCTCTTGTGGGATGTTATCTAGAATCAAGGTTTTCTGTTGTTCAAACTTCATAAGCAATCAGTGTATTTAACATTTCATCATTTGTTTACTGACACTGAATCAGAGGTGGGTTGCAGCAGGTTCTGACCAGTTCTGGAGAACCCGTAGCGGAATTTTTGAGTAGTTTGGAGAACCGGTAAATACCACCTCTGACTGGCCCCGCCCCCATCTATTCTCTGCCTCCCGAGTCCAAGCTGATAAGGGAATAAATGGGGATTTTGTAGTATCCTTCCCCTGCCATGCCTATCAAGCCACACCCCACTGTGCCATGCCATGCCCACCAAGCCACACCCACAGAACCGGTAGTAAAAAAATTTGAAACCCACCACTGCACTGAATATACGTATCATTTCTTTCTGTACCCTCTTTAAAAACATTAATAAATGTTTGTCTCAAGTGCATCAGCCCTCAGTGTATCTAGAAAGCAACAGAATAATGATATTCGTGATAATAATTATAATTCCAATAAGAGGAATTATTTATCTTTACTTCAATTGGGTAAAGAAGACAATAAGGGTAAATAATAACTGCCAAATAAGGGACTTTCTCAGGCTGAATAATAAAGGACTGTTTCAATTGTACATGCTAGATTGTACAACTGGCTGAAATTGTACCTTTTCACAACAGAGACTCCTGGTGCCATTTCCCATGTGAATGTTCTTTTAATGCAAGGCTCATTTCAGTGGTTATCCTTAATATTATGGGATGTTCCTGTCCATGTCTCTGATGTAACTAACTGAGCTGGATGATTTCTTCCAGGTTGGAATTGATTTAAATCATGTCGATTTAAATCATGATACAAATCACTATTAAGAAGCCTTGATTTAAGTCAACCTTTTATATCATACTTTTTAAAGAGCAACCCTCATCTCTGTCCCGCAGTGTCTCCTCCTCAGACCCGCTGTTGACTCACCCACAGTCCCGTTCACTTTCAAGGGATGGCTGGTGATGCGGCAGGGACACAGCTCGGTGAGGGTCGTGGCTGGCAGGAGGTGAGTGGATGCCCGCTAGCAGGTGCTGCCCCGATGGATCTGAAATGACAGGTGCTCTTTAATACATTTATAAGCTGCTTAGAAGGCTTCACTTCCATTTTTATTGCTTGCCCTTTCTCCTCACACTGGGAGCCTGGTGGTACAGATGCATTTCTCTTCCCACAATCAGAGTTTGTAGTCTACATAGATTTGCAAAAGAATGGGATAAAGGAATATTCCTGCGCTTTATGATTTATCCCACGGTTACTGTGGAATTGTGTGAATGTATCAGTGCAGTCCGTGTTATCTCCGCTTGCAGAGCTTGGATTCATTGAATGAGTTTACCAGAAATTTAAATATTGCAGAATATACAGCTTCATGCTACACAAGCAAGCTCCATTTCAAGATGAATAAACTACATTATTAATGTATCTTGAATAGAAAATTATCTTTAGCTAGATTTTTACCCCAAAAGTATTTTATTAAAATAAATTTGATAAAAAATGACCAAAAAAATCTGATTTAAATTTTTTAAAATCTGATTTTTTATTTTTATCTTTTTAAATCTATTTTTATCGACCCTGATTTCTTCAATGCAATCAACTCTTATTTTGTACTTTTTCTACTTCATGGAGTATAAAATGAAACCCGATTCTGTGTCCTGGATTCCTTCTTTTCATTAAAGGAAATCTCTTAATACTCTTCATAAGTTGCCTGTAAATAGTCATCCCACTCAGTGCCTAATTGGAGCAAGTGTGCCGTGGCTGAAGTCTCTACTGTCTAGTATTGTAAGGGGTGGAAGTATAGGAGGGTTTCTCCTAAAATCTACCACCATTTCTACGGTTTTGAGTGTATTTAGTTCAAGATTGTTCTGGTTGCACCACAAGGCTAGTTGTTCAACCTCCGGACTGTATGCAGATCCATTGTCGTCTCGAATGAGACCAGTCACTGTTGTGTCATCTGCAAACTTCAGTACTTTAACAGAGGGATCTTTTGAGATGCAGCCCTTGGTGTAGAGAGAGAAGTGGCGAGAGCACACAGCCCTGGGGGCTCCTGTGCTAATTGTACAAGTATCTCCAGTCAGAAATGAAGAAGCTTCTTGGATGAGAAGCGAAATACCTTCAAAGGAAAACCAGAAAGTCCAGCTGCTTCTTGAAAAAGCACCTTTGGGACAACCATGACCTGGATGACGGAGAATCTCCAGAGACATTCAGGAGACCTTCTACAGTTCCAGACAAGCGGGAAGATGCTGCATTGGGAGCAGCTGGTAGAGTCTTTATTGGCTTCTATGTTATTGTCTGCTTTTATTAAAGCGTGCGCTTGTATAAATGTCATGCATTCCTCTCAATGGAAATAAGGTATTCAGTTCTGGGAGCCTGAGGTGCTGGCCCCACCACTGGGGGGGTGGGGGGTGATGGCCAGTTTGGGGGACGGGGCCCACGTATATATCTTTTATATCATTTATATCTTCTGACTTTGCAACATTTGAAGGAACTTGAGTACAATGTCAAGGTAAAATAAAAATCAACACTGCCATTTCTTGCCAAGTACTACCTGTAAAGATCTAGTACTACCTGTACAGTTTGGGGGCAATATATCAAACTCATGAGCGATAACTGCAAAATACGTCCCAGAGACAGTAAGCAGGGTTGAGTCAGCCGGCCCCTCCCCACCTCTAGCTGCCTTACCAGCCCCTCCCTCCCTGGATCCAGCTTCTCCTTTCTCTTTGCTCCTCCTTTCTGAAGGACCTTTGGAAAACTACAGCAGAGGGGGAAATCCCCTCCAATACTGCCCCCTTCATATTTGGATTTTGCAATCTTTTTTGAGCCCTTGGAAACCTGATGCCGAAGTTGAGACGTGTGTGTATATATTTTCCTCCCACACACCCTCTTTGGAGAGGCTCCTGTTGCAGCTGCTGCTGGGGCCAGTGTGCCCTGCGATATGGCCCTCCACCTCCCTCATTTTCTCTTATTCTTGCAGCCGGCTGGCAAAGCAACACACCTGCTTATCTGCCAGCACATTTGCAAGTTCCCTTCACACCCACCCACCCTTGGGCTACCTGTAAAGCCAGGCCTCTCCCCCTTAATCAAGGAGGTAAAGACTCTTGAAATTTTGCATTTGAAAAGGATCCTTTTATTGAGAAAGAAGTGATAGGTGGGCGAAAGCAAAGCAGGATCTGGGGTCCTTAAGGCAATACAATAGGAATAAAAGAAGTTAGAATCCCCTCCCAACCGGCAGATGTGGATTTAGCCAATCCCCATTCCCTCCCCACTCCTGGGGGAAGGATACCGCAAAATCCCCATTCCCCATACAATAAGCCACCCAGAGTTATTGGGAGTTGGGCTGCTCTACAAATTTAATAGAAGTCATACCTAAATAAATGGGTTCGTCCCCCCGAAATTTCCTGCCCTTGGATATCCCAGAGGGCCACTTTGAAACATCCCCAAGGACCCCAAAGTATTGTTGGATGGTGCCACGTTTAAGGACAGCGGGAGAGAAATTCTCTCCTCAAAAGTTTGAACTTCAGGCATCGTTTCTCATACAGCAGTCCAGGACAGAAAGCAAAATCCCGTCTCCGTTGAACCACTTCTGCCAAAATAAAATACCGCATAGCTTAATGATGCTGAACCCCCAAGGCACATGACCCTCTTTTGGCCAAGTTCCAAATGTTGAGGGATCCAGCAGTTAAAGAGATCCAGAAAGAAACCAGCTTAGATCCTATCAAAATTGCCCGATTTTTCTGCTTCCTTTTTCCAACAATTATGTGTTGGAATGAGAGGAAATTCACTAGCAGGAACCATTGGCAGGAGGTTTTCATCCTTAGGTCCTCTTTAACTGGAGATGGTCTGCTTTTGTGCATGAATTCTGAATTAGAATAGAATCCCAGAGTTGGAAGGGACCTTGGAGGTCTTCTAGTACAACCCCCTGCTTAGGCAGGAAACCCTACAGCATTTCAGGCAAATGGTTATGCAATCTCTTCTTTAAAACTTCCAGTTTCCACCCTTTGCTTCTTGTCCTGCCCTCAGGGGCTTTGGAGAATAGCTTGGCTCCCTCTTCTTCTATCTCGGAACAAGAATTCTCCTGGATCAAACAGAGACCATGTAGTTGCTTCTTAAAAACAAATTTCTCAGTTATTGAATCCATATAGAGAATTTATTAGAATCCTGGATTTATTTTTACCAATAAGGCGGAGAAGACATGCAGCAAAATGAAGGGGAATATTTGGAGCTGAGGGTTGAACTGAGGGGTCTTTGGAGCTCTCTGAGCCCCCCTCCCTTCTAGCCATGAGGAAGGAAGCTACTTTGGGCAATGAAATGTCTGCAAGAAGAGAAGCCCCCAGGAGCCCCTCCCCCTCCTCCCATCCAGCACAGCTTCCTCCTCTCTTCCCCCAACAACAACCCTGTGAGGTGGGCTGGACTGAAAAAGGAGCTGTGCAACCCTTGAACTCAGGGTCTCTGGCTTTCTCCCCTCCCAGCCTTCATCCCTGGCTCCCCTTCAGAGGTTGCTAGGAGGCCGCAGCCCCAGAAGAGCCCCTGACCTCCCCCTCCGTCAATACGGAGGGTGCAGGGGGGGGGAGATCAGACCCCAAATTTCAAGGGGAGCTCCGCCCCACTTCCAAGACCTCGGCACCACGCAGGCGACATCTGGTTGATTGGAGGAAGGCGGACACCGATTGGACATTCTGAGGAAGGCGGCGATTGGCAGGATGACTCCGTGGGGTGGTCCCTCCGAATTTAGAGGTGGAGCTTTTGGAGAAAAAAAAGGCACGAAGACTCCAATTCCGGAACTAAAATGGGCAACGAGGGAGCTGTCTGAATTGGCGACAGAGAAGCTCGGATGATGCAGGTTTGGCTCACGCGATGATGGGAGTTGAAGTCCGGAAGGATCTCTCCGGAGAGGGCAGGCCCGGGAACACGAGGCCTAGATTGGGGGGTGGGCGGGGAGGGAGACAGGAGGCTGAGAAGGAGGCTGTGCCTGCCTGGAGCATGCCCGGGAGGCCCGTGGAAGGCGGGGGCTTGGGCCTGGGCCTCCCCTGCGGGGAAGGGGATGCAGCCGTGACAGTCTTCTCTTTCTCCCCTGCAGGAGGATGGAGGATGGCGGCAGATGCAGGAAAGAGGCACTGCCCAAGAGGAGGAGGAGGAGAGCGGGACCCGCAGAGGAAATGCATTGGTTACAATTGATGCTCCCCAACTTCTGATTCTTTTGCCTTTTGAACATCTTAGAAAGATTGGAAAAACTTCTCACAAAACGCCAAGGTCCCCAGTGTGTTTTCGATCCTCTCTAGTCTGGTCTCTTTGCTGCCGCCCGGTGCTGGTAGCACTGTTTATTTATATCGATAAAGTAGGGATAATCCCTGAAGGGTGGAGGTTAGCTATAGTTTTTCCAATTTTTAAGAAAGGTGACAGAGCCGCCCCATCCAACTACCGCCCCATCAGTCTTCTTAATATAATTTCAAAAATGTATACGAAACATCTCCTAAATAAAATAGAGGACTGGTGCTTGGATAAGGAAATTCTGGCAAATGAGCAGGCAGGTTTTAGATCAGGTAGGTCTACCATAGACAATTGTTTTGTCCTTTCCCACTT